TGCCATTTATTATGTTTGTATTGTCTCCATTTGAAAAGATTTTTTTTCTTCTTCTTTTTTTTTTTTTTCCCCAATGAAGTGAAGCTATGTGAGCTTCACATAGTGAAGCTATTTCCCAATGTGAGTGAAGCTATTACAAGGGGTGGCCACTCCAGGTCCTCGTCTCCAGGAGCTCTCTGAGTCACAAGTGTGTCAACATGCAAACACGGAGAAGGGAAGCAGCTCTCTGCTAGAGGCAGGTGGTAGGGGACTGGGAATAAGGGAAGGGGAGGCTATGCTAAGTACCTTTCAGAAAAAAGCCCTCACACAAACAGAAAGACACAGCCCAGTTAATATCACATGCTAACAAGCACAACTTCAGAGAGCCACGCAGCCTGGTGTGAACTGGTTCAAGAGACAGACACAACACGAGCACCAAGGGGCAACCAACTCTCTGCAGACAGTACAGACAGTAGATGCTTTCCACTGAAATTACTACTGTGTATGAACAAATAAAATCCACACAGACTAGCAACAGATTTCCTAACCTGCTGACTTTCAGCTTTGGTTCTCAAGTTTCCTTCTCAAACCCCTGAGGGTCCATGGGTGACCACTGAGAACTTGCTCACAAGTGGTTTAAAGTTTCAGAACAGTGACCTGCACCTTTGTTAGGAAAGTGAAAGGTTAGCAAATAAACACTGAAGATCAGCTGTAGCTTTTTTCATCTTTGTAGTCATCATTACAGTACAACTCTAGTTTACACAAATGACCACCATACCTTTCATAACCTGATCAATAGAACTGCACAATAATGTAGTTTAAAAATCATACAATAATATCTAGATGCATTTTTAACTTAGGTGCTCTACCACAGCCCCTAATTATCCTGTGTGTTAAGTGATACAGTTCCACTCATAACAAGCAAAATTTATTGTAAGACTTGTTCACATGCCCAGAGAGGCTTGAAAAGCTTTTTCAGAGTGAGCTGACCTGTGGCAACCACTCCTGGACAGTTCTCCACACATTCCCAAGGGCACTCCCTGAATGCACAGAGTTATTACTTTGGAGTAAAAAGTCCCCACAAATGGAACACAGTTCAGCCACAGCAAGTCTGGGAGGAGAGTCTATGGCCTCCTGTTCTGATATGACAAGTGACACATACTATTTTTCCTTCTCTCTCATTGGACTATACCATGATGCCCTTAATCTCTCTTAAAACAGTCTTGGGTAAACAGTACACCTGCAAGGCTGAGCAATCCTGTGGGACCTTTGCACAAGAGCACAGAATCCTCCTTTCCAAGCTGCCTTACTTGCCTTGCTCATGCAGGAGGAGGTCACTCTTCCACCTAACAGCACTGAAGCAGTACAATGTGCCCAAAATTCCCTCCAAGTACACTAAAGGAGCTCCTCTGGAAGCTGGTTAAGCAGCACCATGCACCCAAGAGCAGAGCTGAGTTCTGCTGTCTCCTCCACATTGGCATTGCACCACCAGATACAACTGAGGACAAAGAAAGTCTCCAACCAGGCCAGCTGGCTGCTCCTGGAGTTAGGGGATACTAAGGATGCCATGGCACAGCCCTGGGGGAGCAGGAAGCTGGGGTGCAATTCTGCACGGCCTGCATTCAGTGCCTTCCCTGGGCCCAGAACACCTCCTTTCCAAGGCTGGAGAACACACCACAAGGAAAAACTCTCCTTGTAGTGGAAAAATGTTGTCCTTTGCTGCCCACCCTCTGCAAGGAAAACTTATTAATGTCTTCATATATTTTAAAACTAGAAATGGATATTACAATCATGTTGCCGAGCTCCTTCATAACAGTTACATTATCAATATTCTCCCCTTCCTTTCATTCCATCACTCAATTAAAAGCCTACATTTTAGGCAAACAGTTCCAGTGGAAGGAGGCTGTTTTCAGACTGAACCCCAAGCTCTGGTTATTTCCAGCAGAGCTTCAAAATACCACACCACCACCCACTTTGAAATGGCCTCTGGCTCTGAAGATTTAGGTAACTCAATTACACAAATGCTCCTTTTCAACTCAGCAGAGAAGCCTGTTGCCTCTCTGCATCCCCTTGCCCATGGCAATCACTTACCACCTCTTTTCAAATATGCTATTAGAGCTAATTATGAACAATCAGAGAACTCAATGGCTGCAGCTTTTCAGTGACATTAATAAACCACCCTTTTGAAACTGCAATACCACTGCTTAAAACAAAAAGGACAGGCACTGGGACCCTGCAGTCCAGGAGTGTGTGGTTATTCCCAGAACTAAAGCATGCTACAGGAATGAGGGGAGCCAGATGACTTCTCCTTCTGCACCCCAGCTGTTTATCAACAGAGAGCAGTAGGGTGGCTCTTGCAGAACCTTTTGGTTCAGAGATCACAAGTATTTTGACAACAGATAGTACAAAAATAACTGAAATAAGGCAGTAAAAAGTGAACAAGGCACACCTACAGGCATGGTGAACTGGTTTGACTTGCTCCAGGTTACCTAGCAGAGCACAATGGTCACCATCTGCTTAGGGCAGCTAAATCCTTTACCATACTTCAAGAGAGTCAAGATGGAAGAGCATTTATTGAAAAGATAATGGAAGACAGCATAAATCTGTCATGCTGGTTGACTAACTTTTTAGAAGCATACTAAAACACAAGCAATTAAAGAAAAAATTGGTCTATAACACTCCTCTCCTTCACTACCTGCTCGTAACCATCATAAACCCTAACTTAGCCTTTATCTCTTATGCTGCCTGCATGCAGGTACTGCTGCAAAATTGAAGAAGACAGAAAAATGCCTGAAAGCCTGAGTGTTGGGAGGAATTCACAGGGGCTGCTGACACACCAGAGGTGCTGCATGCAGCCTGTGAAGGGAACTGAGAGCACATCCCTCCAAAATGGCAGCAACACTGATTCAAGTCACCAGAGATTCCCTCCCACTGAACCCCCCATTCTTTATAGCCCAGACATTAACTGAGAGTGCATTTTGCAACGTGCAATAGCAGGTGTTGCAGTGTTTATGGCCTGTCAGGAAGCCAGAGTTTCTTCCTTCTTCTTCTGGTTGCTTTTAAAATTCCTTCTGCTCTCCCTTTGCATGTGAATTCTTACAGGGTAAAGTTCAAAATAAAAAAAAAAAAGAGAAATAAACATTGGGTCACAAAGTCTTGAAGTGTTACTGCAATTTATATATGGCTAAGAATAAAAATGTGTCTGCCTTCTCTGGGAACACACCTATGTGCAGAGACCTGTATAAAAAAATTCTCCTTTATTACCTTGGAGGGGAAAAAATATTCAAAGATTGATTTTCTTTTTATGGTTATTATTAACCTTTTGTTACTGGCCAAAAATAATCTGGTTAGAAAATGTGCAATACATCAAAAAGAAAAAAAAAGAGAGGAAGAATTTAACAGAAAATTAGTGTTCAGGGATGACTCTGCCTTCAGCCTTTTCCTCTAAGAGTCAGACTTTACCTCCAAAGAAATGAGACTAGCACCAAAGAGAAGTGACTTTTCAGCCTGCTGTGGTGGTACAGCAACCCAGACAGAACCATCTGCTGGGCTGCCAGGGCAAAGGGGATGGATGGGCAGGATCTGACTCCTCCCAGTTTCAAGAAAAGCTTTTCCCACAAGCATCTGACATGTCACTCACCAGCTGGTAAGACAATGGTCTAGTCTGACAGTGGGGCACACAAAGCCCCCCATTTGTACTGGCTCCCTTCCTCTATACAAGGAAAAACTCTTGTAAAATCCATGACAACTGAAATCCCCAAGGTCTAAGCATGAAGATACGTCTCACCAGCTATTGCAGAGCCACACTTGAACACCCATCCCACCTGCAATTCTGTTCCAGCAAGGGCAAGAAATACTTTTTTACACCAATGCCACATGTATGTGAACACCAGCACAGCTCCTTGTAGCCTGTGAATGCTAAAGATCTGCTGACAAGCCTTTGGATTGCAACTGTGCTTAAGGTTCAACTCTTAAAAACTCCTGAAGCATCTATCACAAGGCTGCTTAAGATCTCACCAGCAGGAGAGAGAAAATTTGTCAGCAGAGGTATATCTATGTCCAAACTGGGCAGAAGAGGAAAGCCAATAAGTGCCACGCTGGGAAAGAGCAGTCAATCATAATTTGACAGAAATATGTTGGACAATTATTTCCGAAGACGATCGCACTTACACAGGTCAGCCCTTAATTACAACAAGCTGACAAAACCAGGAGCACTGACTCACAAGCACAGGCAGACTCAAGCTGCCTGGCTGGAATGAACCACATGCAAAGTGGTTGTGGAACCAGTGTAGCTCACAGCTTGGTCTGATAAGGTACCCTAAACCTGCTGCTCGTGAAGCTCAGACATGTGAGGTGAAAATTGCAGTGGCTAAAAAGCTGTTTTATATTGAGTTATGTGACACTGGGCTAGCAACAGTGATTCCCAAGGGAATGAGGTAGGGATGTGGGGATGGAAACAGCATCAGCTGTTTGACTTTGCCCTCAGTCAGCAATGAGATCCTACTGTAGCTGTCATGGTCCCACCATGCCATAACCTGAAGCATCACCTATCCCTGTGGCATGCTTTGCCAAAACCAGGCATTAATTGGATGCTTTTCTGCTAGGCAAAGTGGGATATTCTTTCCATTACTTCTAGAGTTCTGCTGAGAGTGCAGTGCTACAAAACAATACATTGGAGAATGCACTTCATGTAGGAAGCTCCCAAACACCTTGTACGCAGGAAAACCCTTTTGCCATCAGTACCACAAGTCACAGCAGAATCCACAGAGCCAGGAGATCAAAAAACTTTACAGCAGGGAGAAGTTTCAGCAAGAACTGAAAAATATCCCTTATGACTATGCATTTCATGCAACCAAATTCTGCTGCTCTGTTCCCAGGTTACCTTTTCGGATCTTCTCTGTGAGAAGGGCTCCAAGAGAACTTGCTATGAAGTTTTGGAACAATTCAATTTCATGTGAAACATATGGTCAGGAGGCTACACAGCACAGAAATCCAATTCAACTCTCTTTTTCCTTTCCTACCTGGCTGTTAACATCAGCAGCAAGTTGTAACAAAACTGAAACCAGCTCCTTGTGTCCTCTGTCGCACGCCCAGTGAAGCAGAGCCCGGCCCTGCAACATCCAGGAGAAAATTAACAAAGTGAGGCTAAAAAAGCACACAGAAACAGTCTTGCTAGTAAGTATGGAGTATCAATAAGGAAATTAACACAGATTTAAAAAAACACCCCACTACAGTAACATTAATATGTAACATACTATTGCTACTGATTTGGTCTTGCAGAGTAAGAATTGTTGTGACAGGTCAATTTTTCATTGATTTAGCACCAAACCCACAAGCCAGTGAAAAATTTGGAGGGGAAAAGCAGCAAAGCATGAAAAGCAGAAGCTGTGACGTGATTTCTTTTCCTATATAGATTTGGAATTTTGACACCTCTGACTTTTCTGGGAGCAATGACTTATATGGTAAAGGTAAGATTTTCAATGGTGCCTTAGTCACCTGGATGCCAAGTCCCCAAAAGCTCATTTCCTCTGGCAGGTCTGAAGTGCTTTGTTTACCATGTACACTTAGTAAATTAGACTGACTGTTAGTACCAGTCTCTGCTGATTTAGGACAGCATATGGCACACTTGCAGGGAATTCCTTGGAAATCACCCTGCAGATAACCAAGAAATCATGCCTCAAGCTGTGACACTGTTAGACCAACCTCAGTTTTCCAGTGTGCTACACAAAACAGCCACAGACCTTCACAGATGAAATCAGTTAAATCAGCCCACGCCTGGTTATAAATCTCTCAACAGTGCAGTGGGGAACAAGATGAGCAACTCATTTATCTGCTAATGGGAATCGTGAGCCAAATTTCCTGACCACGGTGCCAAAACAGCAGGAGGGGCAGGAGACACCTGCAACCAGAGCTCATTCCTGGGGAGGTAGTACAGGATTTTGAGTTAAGGAAATGCCATCTCAGACACCAGGCATAAAGCATTTAAACACACTTTTTGACCCAGCAGGTAATTAATTTTTGTAACACATTATATTAGTGTTACGCTAATTAACCTTGAATTAGAATGAATATTCTGACAATGACTTTTTATGGAAGCACTGGTAACATCCACAGGCCATTTAGTGATTAATGTTCTTGCACTCAACACCTCTATCAGAGTCTAAAAGGGGGAAAAGAATAAAATTTAAAACAACTGGTAAACATGGAAAGATCTTTAATTCATGTTTAGCATCCCTAACTCATTTCTGGACTGGTAATTACTTAAGATTTCTGTTAGACAAGCACTAACTTCTTGTTTGTCACAGATGTTTATTTCAAAAGAGAGCAGCACTATCTGCAATCTGTACAATAGCAGCAAATACTGCAGGAGATGATCTCAGTTTCTTTATATATGTGTAGAGGAGTAATATTGTAACTAGACAAATGTAATTATTGTGCAATTACATGACAAAATAAGGGCATTTCTAGCCTATCAAAATTCATGTTACAGGTTAGTGGCTATAATATGTTGGTTTGTCTCTGGACAAGCAGAATCTTGTGTTATTGGTGCTGAACTTGGCTGAGATCAGTAAAGGAAAATGAACAGTTTGGGAGAGATAGTGCTGGCAATTCTACCAGCTCAGGGGAACTGCAGCACTGTGCAACTGGTCCCTTCCCATGCCGCTGGGAGGCTGGTTGCCTTTTGAACAAGAAAATAAACTGAAGCCTGATCATCCATAGTCATTAAAAATCTCCTTGTGCTATTTGCAGGAGTATGGATTTCAAGGCTTGGGCCAATTCCACTTTGGGTAATTACACTCTGCTTACCTATATATTTTCTCTGCAATTCTAAATGGATACAATATTTTCCAATTAGTGCCTTAAATGGCTCTGCATTGTAATTGTGCACTATTAAAAAGCTGACATGTTCTACCCAAGAAATGTCTGCACCCTTGCAGCATCTGACACCCTAAACACAGGGTATGAGTGACTCTGGAGACCTCCTGTGCTAAGGCACACCATTTGATGTGGAAGTAAAAACACCTGCAGAAGAATCAACCTACTTATTGCATTACTACAAAACTTGTATTTTAAACAATATTCACTACTCTTTGCATAGAATCAGGCAAATTCAAACACTGAGGAGTTGTAGCTATACATCTACAAAGTCCAATATTGTGTTCAGTTTTGGGCCCTCCACTGTAAAAAGGACATTGAGATGCTGGAGCATGTCCAGAGGAAAGCTACCAAGCTGGTGAAGGGTCTAGAGAATAAAGTCATAAGAGGAGCAACTTGGAGGGACCTGGGGTTGGTTAGTCTGAAGAAAAGGAGGCTGAGGGGACACCTCATTGCCCTCTACAACTACCTGGAAGGAGGTTGTAGTGAGGTGGGTGTTTGCCTCTTCTGCCAAGTAAATTGTGATAGGACAAGAAGAAATGGCTTGAAGTTGCATCAGGGGAGGTTTAGATTTGATATTAGGAAGAATTTCTACTTTGGAAGAATGGCCGGGTACTGGAACAGCCTACCCAGGGAGGTGGCTGAACCACCAACCCTGAAGGTATTCAAAAGCCATGTAGATTTGGTACTTTGGGACATGCTCTAGTAGCCAAGGTTGTGATTATTGGTGGTTTGGGGTTTTTTTTGTGTTGACAGTTGGACTTAATTATCTTGGAGGTCCTTTCCAACCATGACGATTCTGTGTTAAGTCTTCCTTAAGACAAATCTTACTGATAAAACTGAGCTAAATGTACAATTCCACTCTTTGAATAGCATGGATATCACCTACTGACATTGAAAAATTCTTTAGTCTGCACAGCTGCTGCTTTGTATCAGCATATCACATGGTGGTATGTTTAAATAACATGGTAGAAATCTCCAGAGCCACAGACTGAGCTTTCCCAAAACACTTCCCATATGACTATCTCAGTAAGCAGGAAGAGAGTCAAAACACCACCAGTAATTTCATACAGGCAAGTGCTGCAGTAGCAAGGTCTTGACTAAATGCAATCAAACATCAGGGTACTCCCTCCATGCAATTCAAACACACAACAGTTGTTGCAGAAGTTATTTGAGAGGATGCATTTTCCCCAGCCTTTAAAGTATTTCATAAAAAAAAAAAAGAGGCATAAAAATAGCTCCAGTGCACTAACCCTGCTCTTAAATCTTCTGTGCTTTGCTTAGATAACCACTGCCAGCTTGGCCAGCTTCTGCAGCAGTTTCTCAAGCCAACAGCACATCAATTTTGCTCAGCTCCAAGTCACAGGGTGTTCACAAACAAAGCACAGGACAGGGATTTGTCTCGGACAGACCAAGCCTCAGCAGACAAACGGATGGGGATGATTTTCACATCAATTAGGCAGCACAGAGAAAGAGGAGAACAAAGCCAAACTGAATGAATGTGCTACAATATTAAGCTGTACTTCTAGGCACGATGTTTGCTGCTGTAATGGTTGAAGAGCAATGACAGCCACTCTTTACTTGTGTCAGTATTTTATTATTGCTAATTAAGAAGAGATATCTATTTCTATATATAGAATGTCTGCATCCCAGTGACAGCAAAAGCAATGAATGGAAGGGCTGTTGTTACACTTATACAGGTAAAACTTCAGATTTGATTTGGAAGTCAATCACTCTGAGACATTTGGGAAAGTTTTTTTGATGGAGTAAGCTGGTACAGCCAGAAACATGCAATCCTTCTTCAAAGCCATTTTTCCCCCCCTGTCCTTTCCTTGGCAAGCTGGCACCAATTTGGCACTTTCTCAAAAGCACGAGGACCAGGGGAGCATCATTTCAGATGCCTTTCATTAAAGTTTTGGCAAGGCCTTCAACACTGCACACAGGTAGCACCTTTGTTTACTGGGATTTCTCCAACAAGTGAGAAAAAAATTCTGTCTGCAACCTCCCCAGCCCTTGGCACAAATTACAAAAGCATCTCATCTATGCCTTTGAGCAGTTTCTGGTTTGTTAAAAAGTTGAAGAAATATTGCTCTCAGAAAGGCAGCAAGCAATCCACAGTGCCAGGACGTGCCACAGCCATAGGCCATTTCTGATTTCATTAGTCCTGCTGACATACACAAGAGAAACGGGTTGTTTTAGTCTGTGCTGCTTCTTGTAAGTGAATGCAAGCTATTCCATTGAACTCTGGGCAATTTAGATACAGTAAATGGAAGCTTGTACATGATTACTGTCATTAGGTTCTTTGTTTAATTCTAAATTGAAGTTTATTACATCCAAACTGTTAGCAGGTATGTTGGCTTGGATACAGCACACAAAGATCTTTATTTCTTCTGGGGAAAAGACCACTTCTGCTTTGGAAGTTGCCAAATGCATCTATCTAAACTATTATGCTTTCTGAAATTCCTTTGCTTCAAGTAAGTTGGCTTGTCCCCATTTTACATTTTTATTCTTCATTTCTTTTCTCCTTTCAGTAACTTACTTCAGGTTTGCACAAAATGAGGGGATACAATTAGGTACAGTATTAACCCATCACACAAATAAAATCTAAACACCTTACAACCTCAGTCAAGTTTTATTGTATGAGCAAAGGCTGAGCCTAATAACTTTGCAGTTTAGCAAGAGACTGTTTGGTGTCCCAGTAGATTTTATTTCATAACAAGTTAACTGTTTGTATGTATCCCTGCTGCCATTTTAAATTTACATGCATTTAAATCAAAGGATTGACAGTGTGAGTTACGTTCAGAGGGCTAGGAGAGGCATCTTTGGAATATGGCAGGCTGTATTTACACAGTAACAGTAAAATAGCTAATAAAAATGATTAAATTGTGCTTGCATATACTTCACTCTACCAAAGGCTCAGTCTCTGTTAGCTCTAGTCTAAAAACAGGCTCTAAAACTTCAATCAACCTGCACGATATTGGAAAATAAGCTACCCTCCAGAATGCAAAGACAGCACTTGGATACTGAACAACATTGGTAATGGTTTCAGCTCCTTCACACAACATGAAATAAATACCTGGTGTAGATTTTTCTTTTTGGTATGCTAATATTTTTCAAGTTGTTTGTTTTTTTTTTCCTATCAGTTAACCTCAAGCCTAAAAAAAAGTTCTTGCTTCCCTTTTAGAGCATTTGCTGGGATAAGCCAAAATCACTGAGCTTGTGAGAATTTAATCTATGAGGGAATTTTACCCCAGTAGGAATCTTCCCATGAGCCCTTCACAGGTAGGCAGGATTTTCAGCTCCTGTCTGTGGTGAAGCAATTCCATACTCTGCAAGTCATGTGCTAATACCCATTAGTTCAGAAATAGGTCTTCTCTTATTTTGTTGAGTTGTGGATAATTCCTAAAGAGGGCAGTTTTCAGATCTGGCTATAAACATTTATGCTGTTAGAGCACAGAAATATTTCAGCCATCCTTCATTAAATACTTTTATTTTTTTAAACAACAAAAATTCTTTGGCTGAAAACATGCACATTTGTTGCCTGAATAAAGCAAGATACAAGTTTCTGAGCCCTGATAACTCAGAAGTGCATCTTGCCAGTGGAAATAAAGCAACGCCATCCTGGTGTTACTACACACTTACTGCAAGAGCATCCCAAATCCCAAAAATGAACTTTTATTAATGAAAGGACTCCAGCAGTGTTCTATGGGACTACCCTGCCCTGGACATTTACTTCTGTGATGGGCAGAAGGAGGGAAGGAGCTCAGTAAGGGCACCGTTGCAGTGACTATGTGGCACATGACAGTTTCAGTTCATCGAATTTATGATGTGAAATTCCAACCCTGATCGTGAACACCCCCCCTTTCTCTCCTCTGGAAATTAATTCACATGAATTCCTGATTAATGATAAAAGGACCTGCCATCAGCATTCAGAGCCCCAGCCGAAGCTGTCATGGCTCAGAGGGCAGAAATCTGCTTAGAGCTACAGGAGAACCCAACTGAATTTGTGGCGTCTCAGTCTATGAATGTGTAAGCACTTCATCTGTTCACCAAAACACAATGTGCTGGAGAGCAGGAGGCAGAAGCAGCTCTGCATCTGACAGGCCAGGAACAGGGCTAGGTGGCAGCATGCAAACCAAGGTAATAAAGTGACATTTCCTGAAGGATAAACAGGAAACTGTCCACACCAGGCATTTACTTTCACCAAGAAAAGGATCAAGCCGATCCACAGTTTTAGACACCTATTTTTCTTGAGGCTCCTGGCAATACCTGTATTGTCTCCCTATGGGGAAACAGGGCTTTGAGGCTGAAAGGGCAGAAAGACTGGATGATATCCCTGTTTTTATGAAATTGGAAAGCCAGTGTCACTCATCTGCCCTCCACCTGGGGATGATGAGAAGCTGAAGGCATGGCAGAAATCCTACTCCATCCACGAACAGAGCCCACCAGTCAAAAAAGCTATTTCCCTCACTTCCTACTTCTATTTGAGCACATCTAGTAAGCAAAGGTAGGGAAA